GTGTGTGTGTGTGTGTGTGTGTGTGTGTGTGTGTGTGTGTGTGTGTGTGTGTGTGTGTGAAAATACAATCAGACGACTAAAGAACAACAAAAACAGCAACTCAATATCTGATGTATTTCATTCATACCAACAGAAGCCACCTTACCTCACTGTGTTTTAAATTTCACGAAAGCTTTAGAGACAGTTAAATGGATCCTTTGGTCACAGAATACAACACCCATAAAATGATCGCATAATGTAAGACTGTGTGTCAACATCAGTCAGCATCTGGAAACAAGGAGGCTTGGCTTAGTCCATGTAACCTGACAGCTGTGCAGCTGATAGTCATTTTAAATTAGCAGCCTTGCAATGCGGAACATCTGAGTGGGAATGTGACTTCTGCTCTTAGAGTAGTACATCCGATTTGGAGTGTTACTGCAGCCTGTATTTAGGAATATGCAGGTCTGTAGGACACCGGAGATTTACATGTGGTCATTTCTCAGTGACATGACAAGCTGGGTATAGAGTAGTTGGGAGATTTTATAAAGTAGTGAGGGTACAGTTCAGCAGATTTAAATGGGTTTACCTGGAACATCGCAGATTAAATGATCTGATCACATGTAAGGCTAATTAAGAATCTCCTTCTTACAGCGAAGACTAGTTCTCCCCACTGAAGAGCACTTATCTTGTAGCGATGTAAGCCCTCGCAGCTTAATGAGAAGCGAAATGAATCAGTCCTCCAACTTCGCTCAACCATCTCTTAAGTGTAATTTGAAAGCGTCTCGTGTTCATCTTAATCTGTTATAGAAGATCTAGTTAGCAGTCAATCCAGAGCCAAAACCTGAGCTCTCTTAATGCACAAAGTGACAGTGTGACTGTTGTTAGTCCGGTTTATTCCTATAAAAAGAACAGCTGGAAGTTTTAGGATAACATGCAGGAATAATTGACTGTCTTTGTGTCCATCTCAGTAATTAAATACAATATGCTGTCACTGAATTTAGCTGTTAAGGCGGAAACCAAAGCTCGATTGTGCCCTTTTACACACATTGACGTTTTTTTCTCGCCTCTCCACATTTCTGCCAGCAGATGGCGGCATTGCACTTTTGGCTTCGCAGCTCCGGCCGCAACTGGTACCGGACTTTTTTTATACCCCCTCACCCCACCCCCAATCCGTTAAATGGAGTTATCCGGCAGACCTTTAACCTTATACAGCACTGATAATCATGCACTCTGTACAGACAGAAGAGGTAAGTATTGTTGCACAACCAGGGCCACACAGTCACAGTCGGGCCAGAGGTACTGCAGAAAACAGTAAATCATCTTGTTCAAAGTACATATCATCTCTGTGCAATGTAGTCGCTAAATAGTCATATAACAAATAAGTGTTTTTATTATTTCATTTTACATTTATTTTCCTATGACCAAAGATCCTATAATATGAATGCATGTGCACAATTTATGAAGTCACAGAAATCTTAAAGACAAAAAACAACAACAACAACAAAAAATCAGTTTTATATATATATATTTAACACAAAGACACATTTTATATATATAAATTCCTGTAGTACTTCATAACAATATGAAAGATTAACATGAGGGATTAACACAATGGCATCTATAACATGTAGGCACTGTGTGCAATGATAAGACTAAAAGCTTTCATTCAGGTGATACAAATACAGTGATACAGTTATCATGTTAAAAAGGTAATAAAAACTTCAATGTGCATGTTTTTTGTCGTGCGCCCTTCAGTGTCTCATGTATGCATATATATAAAGATTTCCTTGTCTTGGAATGTGCTCCTATGTGTACAGTCATACAAAAAATTCAAGTTAGATTTAATTTATTAAAACACATAGCTTAAGGTAATATGCATATAATCACAAAATCTCCCCATTGTTTTACAGGAATGAGATTCATATTTTGATTTGGTGAAGATAAAACTCCCACCGCTGCAGTTTGCACCAATAAAAATCCATCCCACCTTAAATAATCCTAAAGAATAAACTGGATAGTTGCTCATGAGCTTGTTGATTAGTTTTTCTTCTGAAGAGAGGTGTAGTACTCGACCAACACCCTCCAGGCTTTGGGGGCCATAAAACCATCTGGAGGGTTCTCCCCGCTCCGAGCCAAGCTCCTCATCATGGTACCAGAAATGAACTGAAACTCGTCGTGTCTGAGAAATTGTAGAAGAATGGGGGAAAAGGAGTATACAGTGGGAAGGACAGGTTATTCGAAATGAAAATGTGTAAATTCTATAATAGCGCCATGATTAGATCTCGACACAAATACCAACTACGACACGAACACATATAAACGCACAAGCCTAATAATGTACAGTCTGGAATTTTTCGTTTGGCCCTGAAGTTTTTGCCCTAAAAGTCTGTTGAAGGCAATGCAATGTTTTACTGTTCAGTAAAGAACATCCAAATAAGTACTAATGAGCTACTACCCTTTGTCCTTAAAAATGTGCATTCTGTCAACAACTGGTGAGCGGAGAGCTGCACCAAAAACTGTAGCTCAGGAGTTAGAGCAGGTCATCACTAATCGGAATCAGTCCGATCCTGACTACAGTCTACATGCCAAGTATCCTTAGGTGAGATACTGACCCTCATGTTGCTCTCAGATGCATTGATTGGAGTATGAATGTTACATAGAAAACACTTAAGCATGGAAAAACATTCTTGTATGAATAACACGTGTTGTATAGAGCGCTCTCACTGCTCAGGTAGAGTAGAGAAGTGCTACATAAGAACCAGTTTACTGAATGAAGAAAGTGTTTCATGTTTGTGCAGCACTTTTTTACTGTGGAATAGAAAGAGACAGTCTCAACAAGCACATGGATGACGAAGGACTTTATCAAATACCACATGCTAAATGAATGTCAGTATATGTGAATGTCCATATACGTGTGTTCATATATATATATATATATATATATATATATATATATACATATATGTCTCAGAGTATATATATAAATATTATATTCTAAATAGTATTGTTTATTAAACTTGAATGCGCTTAAGGTCAGTGATTGTGTGTGAGTGATTCTATAAATGGAGTTATCATATAATTAGTCATTATTTTTATTTTGTTTTGACTTTTTGCTTTTAATTCAGTTTAGTTTAAGTTCCAGAGTGAGTTTTTAATATTAAGTTTTTAATATTTACTTAATAATGTTTAGTTTAAGTTGGCTTCCAGAGTGAGTTTGTTCATTTGAGTTTAATATTTATTTATAATATTTATTTAATAATGTTTAGTTTTAGTTTAGTTTTATTGGTTTCAGCCTTAATTGTTATTAATTATTGCTGTGTGGAGGACATGTGTCAAAGGTGAGATTTAGGAAAAATTAGAACAGGTATTACAATAAAAACACAACTATTAGAAAGTGGTTGTCTACAAGATGTCCCTTGTATTGTTGTGTGTAAGTCTAGTTTCTATTTTAGTTAATTACAATGGTTTTTAACCATCTAATTTTAGTTAACTATAATAGCCTTGTTATAGCTCTAGGTGAATGTATGCGTATATTTATAATTGTCTGTCATTTCATATATGGGCCATTAGCTTGTGAAAGGAAGCTGAATAGTGCAATCATCCATTAGATATGAAGGAGGGGTAGAATTAAATTTTTCAGCAATAAAATTTGAGACGCTTATATACAATCAAGTATCGGGTTTTGTATTTTGTTTTATTAGTGTTTGCTAACTTCAGATTACTTCAGGTGGGTAGTAGGGGGGTCACTGACCGGTCTTTAGGCTGGTGTGAACGGGGCTTTAGCAGTTAATTTCGCATCTCTAGAAGTGTGTGACCCCTTGAGGTTCAATATTGACTGCAACTTACAAGAAAAACCTGCAGATCTTTCATCACTCACCGGTCTTTGTCATAGAAGTCCATAGCCTTCTTAGTTTTGTTGTAGGCAGCTACCCTGAAGGGAATGATCTCTACAGAGGTGAGACCTGGGGCCATGGACAGCACTTTTCCACCGTGGGTGGGCTCATACAAGTCCTTTTTAGTCTCTGGGTGAGGCATACCTGCAGGATCCCGGCCGACAATGTAAAAGTTTGCTCCGGCGATCATTCTGGCTCTGCAGTGCCACTGAACCTGAAAGACATTGAAGCTGATATC